TCATTTTGCAACTTGAAGTGGGTAGTTCAATCTCAAATGCAGATATGAAAACAATTTTACCTGCAGAAGTATGAAAAGAATAAAAGCTGAATTCTGCATTTAAAATAATTAGGAAAGATACTGTCTACTTAGTCGTGACTTATTCCTGCAGCACCTTTTTAAGGGGCCCTAGGAAGTTGCTTTCTCATTAGGCATTGTTTCCCAGTGATGAAAATGACATTTTGGCTGAGGTATACCCTTTTGAGGGACCATTAACATAGCACCTGGGAAGTGGTGCCAGGCTTGGTGAAATAGGCGAGTGAATGCAGGACAGACAGCGTGCTTCCTCAACCTGGTTCTTCCACAGACAGTCAAGGTCAGAGTGGGACTCACTTTTTCTGTGGGCATATGCTAGAGAAATTATGAAAGTATGAAAAAAAATGCCAGGGTACTGTGCCAGCAAGAATGAAGCACAGAGTAGAGAGAGAAGAAAAGAAAGCCCTTTAAACAGCAAAAACATAATACAGATTAGAACCTCAGAGCTTCTGGGGATCACACTAGGTACAAGCTTCTTTATATTAGTTTAGATTTTCAGAAACTGTTGGGAAGAATTAAAGCGTCTTTTAAAGTGTCTTAGAAATTCACTATCCTGGGTAAATGCATAAAGTACTAAACCATAGTTAGGGACTATTATCTTTATAGCAAATTTAAATTTGATATCCTTACTAATAATGAATGATTTAGCTACATTAAAAATAAATTACGAGATTTTTTGCAAACATTCAAAGTATGTACAGAAGAGAATGAAATGTAGACTACTCTGGTAAAATATATATCCTACTACAATTACAAATAGAAATAAAAATTATTCTTATTAGCCCCTTGGAAATGAATACTAAAAATAAGTATTATTAAAAGTATGGAGCATATTTGAATTTAAATTATATTATATCCTCTGATTAAAACAACTGTTACCTGTGATTTTTGTGACAAAAAATATTTGAGGGGTCAATATGAAACATTCTATTATGTTTTCAAGATAAAATGAGTAACAGGAAGTCATAGGATAGTGCTTGGGAAATGGCATATGGTCAAGAAAGTTTTATTTTTTTGTAAATCTGGAACCAAAGATTTAAATACCAATGCTAATATAATGTTTGCCCAACATGAAGAGTCAAATCAAACCACAGTTTATCTTTTACGGCGTTAAAACCAATTATAAAAGATAGGGGCTACATTTTAATAACACTTTTCTGTAAAATATCTATATTGGCTGGGCACGGTGGCTCATGCCTACAATCCGGGCACTTTCAAAGGCCAAGGTGGGTGAATCACTTGAGTCCAGGAGTACAAGACAGGGCTGGGCAATGTGGCAAAATGCCACCTGTACAAAAAATACAAAAATTAGCCAGGCAAGGTGATGTGCACCTATAGTCCCAGCTACTGAAGCAGCTGAGGCAAGAGGACTGCTTGAGCCCAGGAGGCAGAGGCTTCCATGAGCCAAGATCACACCAGCCTGGTCTCAATTTTAAAAAAGAAAATCTTTATTAGACACTGCCCATCACACAGTAGCAGTATTTGTTTGCTTATGACCAAATTAATGGTCAAATTGTTTCTACCTTATCAAAAGTAAGAAGTAACACAAAGTATTAAGAAGAAATGACAAGGATGCAGAATGATTCTTGTTTAGTTTAAAAGAAATACAGATATATGTGTATACATATACATGTATAAAGAACTTTTGAAATCTGTACATATTCAGTTATTAATTTAAAAAATCTAACAGACTTTTACTTAAAAAATCATTTGAGAAACTTCTGAACCACTTTCTTTGAGGTAGGCAGAAAATCCTGCATTGAAAAACAAAGGACTTATTTATGAATAAAAGAATTTCTTTAGAATTTTCCAAGTAATTGCAGTGTGTCTATCCCTCCCCTTACAGTAGCACAAAGTAATGTATACAAAAGGCTGGGGGGGAAATGCGATTTTCCTTCACACTGGCCACTGACACACTTTGAAACCATACTTTGTTTAACCGAAGCCTATGGTGATCCACTGTGCCTTCTGCAGAGTAATTTAACTACTCAACAGCTGGAAAGAGAAACAAGACTTAGCGAAAAAAGCACCATGCTGACGAACAACAATATTGCCCATATTAAGCTCTATTTTCTGAGTCAAAGTTTGGGTCATGTAAAAGTAAAAGTGGCCCCAGAGAAGAGAACAGTTTCTCGAAGATTGCCATTTAAACCTCAAATGACCATGTTTCACAGCAGGCTCAATACATTCCAGCATGTAACTGCATTTTAATTTCCTAAAACCACAGGATGTAAGTCTGATTTCAAATAGTGTCTGGACTGTGATATTCAATACTGATAAAACTGTATGGTATCCTCTTGAAAGTTCCACAAATTCAGCCTATGAAAAAAGATCTTCAATTTCTTCGAAGTACTATTCTCAAAGAAATTTGCTCCTGAGTTTTGTATATGAATTCTAAACAATTAATATTAAGAGCTAAAGCTACTGCCATAAGAAATATAACCTACTAGTTACAGGAAAAGAATACACAATATATTCATCACTCACCAGGATACAGTATGTTCTATGAGACTAAATCTTCTTTGCCATGTTCATTACTACTTATTTTGGAACGTAATTTTAAAATTTATTAACATGAATGTTTCCTTGAATGTCTATTCAATGGATGGAAATTATTCAATCACCTTCTCAACTTTATAAAAGCAGAATTTGTTTAGTCTCCAAGTATTATGTAAGAAGAAATGCAACGTTTAAAACAGATCAACAAGGAAAAAAAGAAGGTGAAAACTATCATAAGTTGGGGAGTAAGAAATTTAGGATCATAATACTATTAGAACGCAACTTATACAGATAAAGTTTTATATGTGAATATGAAATCTTTTAGTAAGATGTTCAGCAGTTTTCATCACAAGGAACTGGACTGTCCTGACCTTGAGAAAAGCTAGAGGAGACACTTTTTCTGAGGGGAGAGAGGAGAGCAGGTAAGTCTGTGTTTTCTCTTATAATACTATTGCTTTTGGCTTTGAGCCTGACTCTAAAACTGATGGACAAATTTCATGTTTGTTTTAAAGCAATACATCTGATCAATGGGGTGTAACTTTACTCAGAATAAAACGATCACACACTGACTACTAATTTCAGGTGTGGGAACTATAAAGCTCTAGTTATTCTAGGAAATCTAAATATCTAGAAAAACTGGGGCTAACACTAGGGTTCCTGGCATATGAGTCAGCGGGGTCCCTATGGTCACTCGTCATCAGATTCTAAGGTATCATCATGTGTAAGAAGGAGTCACTCTTGAGTTCATAATGGCTTTTCAAGGAGATAACAAAATACAACATTACATGAGTCAATTTTTTCTTACATGAAAATACCTGATTGTGAAACAAACGTGCATCTCAGAACTGAAGAAGTTGCTGCATCCCTTTCCCTGCCCCTTATCTTTCATTTGATCTTGCTCCACCTACTCCTCTCCCCTCCTCCGGCCTTTTCATTGATCTTTCCTTCTTTTTCCCCAAACTTAGACTACAGGTCATAGCTAGAAAAATGTTTGTACTCTTAAGAAATATGGATCAGGCATCTCCTCTGTGGTGAGGCTGTGTGAGGACTCAAAGTTCCATTAAGCACAATTGAGAATATCAAGGAACTTTAGGGGGAAGACAAGCATGTCAACTAATGCAACCCATCCCGTGCCTGTCTTACAGAGCCATGGCTGAACGCTGTGAGGACGAGGAAGGCTCTGCGGAGGAGGACTACTGTGAACTGTGAGTGGCACTTAGACTACTGGGAGATAAACAAAACTGCACATCTTTGCAGAGAACGGGATCAGAGTAAACAAAAGTAAATGCAGACAAAAGCCTGTGGCATGTAAGGGATGCAACATTCCAACTTGGCGAATGACCACCAAAACAACAACAATAGGGGGCTGTTCTCAGCATGCTTCTCATTTTAATCCTCCTTACAGCTCAGTAAGGTAGGTCTTATTACTATCTCAATTTTAAAAGTGAGAAATCTGAGCCCAGGGAGATTATTAAATTGCCTAAAGGCATACAGTTTACCAACTGACCATGAAGCCAGGATCTGAACCCAGGAAGCCTAACTCCATGGCTGTACTTTTTATTTTGAGTCAGATTCTTACACTGTTGCCGCAGGCTGAGGTGCAATGGTGTGATCTGGGCTCACTGCAACCTCTGCCTCCCGGGTTCAAGTGATTATCCCACCTCAGCCTCCTGAATAGCTGGGATTACAGGTGCCCACAATCACACCTGGTAATTTTTGTATTTTTAGTAGAGACAGGGTTTCATCATGTTGGACAGGCTGGTCTTGAACTCCTGACCTCAGGTGATCTGCTGGCTTCAGCCTCCCAAAGTGATGGGATTACAGGACTAAGCCACTGCACCTGGCCAGGGATATACTTGTAATGTCTGTACATACTCTTAGTACACAGAACATCTAAAGAGAAACAATGGGAAACAAAACTATGCTGGAAGTATACGCTAAAGATCTAAGAAGAAAGTCAAAAAAGTATTGTCACAAAACCCATTACAGTCTGTTTGCCTCCATGAAACCATTCTACAACTTTATTCAGTCTAGTTGGCCAATCTTTGTCTTCTCTACACTGACTAAATAATCCATCTAGCAGGCAATTTTTATGCACTATGATACTTAAAAAGATATGGATGTTGATATCAGTCCCTGAAAGCATATAAAAACCAACCTAATGGGAGAAGCCAGGTCAGTAAATGACACGAGCCCATGAGGTTTCTAAATTTTGCGCCAAACTGTGAGTGTGAGTTTGTGCGCATGTGCAAAGTCTTCCTCTATCTTCTACCTTACACACACACACACACACACACACACTTATGCACAGCACGCTCTATAATATATACAAAGCTACCTGGACCCTGTTAAGAGCCACAGCCACACACACATGGATCATAAAAACAAAGCCAATGATTTCTAGCTGAGCTCAGCTCCAAACATACCTGCTTCTGGGTCCTGGTTGAAACGGCAGTACTTGGAGTTTTCAAGTGAAGGCAGGCATTGCTCAATGGGCACCCAAACATATGTCTCAGGGCACAGCAAATCAGAAGGTCTATACTGACCCTGAAGAACAGTGAAGGAAAAAGGCACGAGCATTACTGACACAGCAACGCCGGAGATAAAGGGACCGGGGCTCCAGGAAAGGTTTGAAGGAAAAACTTAAAAGTCAATCAGAAACTATCTCACTGTAAATACTAAGCAGCCCTTTAGCTGATAGCTTTCCCATCTCCTAAAAGCATGTTTGACTCAAGGCTCTCTGAAAGTTAAACACCACCACTTAGGATGCCTGTGTTGATTTGGAAAATATGAGTTTTTAATCTCTTCCAGAAGAAATATTTAACATGATTCTTGCTGAGCTGACTGTTCAAGAATAACTAGTTTCAAAATCAAGTTGTCTTTTAAATACTAGTTAATTAACAAAGTGAAATTTCTTTTCACAGAGCACTGTATAAAGTGAACTTATTTTTCAACATGGAATTTTGCTATCCTTAATGACAAATTTTTAAATTTATGATTTATAGACTCAGTTGATAATATTCATTCTGTTCTAATGTATTAGAAAGTACTGTCTTATCAACATACTTCTAGTATAAGCAATCTAAACTGATAGAGGTATCATAAAGAGAAGTTAAAGAAACAGAAATTTCAGGGAAACATCTGATAATCCACTAAACTGCCTTTTTTTTTTTTTTTTTTTTTTTTTGAGACAGAATCTTGCTCTGTCACCCAGGCTGGAGTGCAGTGGCGCCATCTCAGCTCATTGCAACCTCCGCCTCCTGGGTTCAAGTGATTCTCCTGTTTCAGCCTCCAGAGTAGCTGGGATTACAGGCATATGCCACCAGGCCAGGTTAATTGTTGTATTTTTGGCAGAGAGGGGGTTTCACCATGTTGGCCAGGCTTAACTCCTGACCTCAAGGGATCCACCCACCTTAGCCTCCCAACATGCTGGGATTATAGGCATGAGCCACTGCACCCAGCTAATTTATGTTTCTATAATCCAATTATATACCTCAAATTTAACACAAAGACTATACAACAGGTGCTGAAGAAAAAAATTATTCGCTTAATGGGGATAATGAAGATAGTACAAATTATGTGAAAGCATTTCGTGAAAATTTTCATAACTATCAAGGTTTTATATTCTTTGAGCTAAATTAAAATTCAAAGTGTCTCTCTTCTAAATTTAAAAATTCATTATAAAAGTTAAAATCTAGCATAGTGTTTTTCCATTTTTTTTTACTACAACCCATAGTATAAGATATATTCTATATCACAGCCTAGTAAACATACATGCAAACATAAAACCAGAAACAAACCTTTTAGTACTCAATGCTTACCCATGTTATGTTCTACTTTACTTCATTTTTTAAAAAATGCTGCCCTTGAACCACCAAAACTGCTTTTACAAGCAGTAAATGGGTCACACCACAGAGTTTGAAAAATACCAGTGTAAAACTCTTTACAAAGAATACTGCTTAAGAGCTCAGCAGTTCCATCAGAAAGGCTCTATACCAGGTCCTGTGTGAATCACTATATGAAGCATAGATATAAAATGAACACCATGCCCTAGCAGCCTGTGAAGCAGAAGTCTGGAAGCCAACAAGGGAGGCTATACATCAACAAAATGTGAGGAAACATTCTTTCCTGGGAGATGGCTCAGGGAGGATATGGGGTTTTATTGAGGACGTGACTGACTGAATTAAGTCTAGGGTAGGATGAAAAGAAATGAGGACAATCTAGATAAAGGGAACAGCATCAATACACAGAGTTGGGCCAAGCAGAAGATTCCAAGCAACAGGAAATGGCAGGGCACCACAGCAATGGAATGGTGGGTTGGAATTCGATTCCGGGGGACGTTCTGGGGAGCAGTCACATTTGGAATTTTCTTCTAGATCAAATGGAAAGGCTTGCTGGATAAGGGGGAGAGTTTTGTCCTAATCCAACAGGAGCAGATAACAGGATGAGGACCAGAAGTCAGGTCTCTGACTCAAGTTTCCTGGAGTGCTCACTGCACTGCTGCTGCTCACTGCCCTACAGCAGGAGAAGGCCATCAACAAGGGGCAGCTCCAGGTGGTCTACAGACTCATCTAACATTAAAATTCAAACACAGAAGTAGGGATGAATTGATGATTTACTCAGGAAGTGTAATAAAGCCAGATATTTCATTGCTATCTATCTTGTAAAAACAATGGCATTATCTCCGTTAACTCCTAAACTCTTTTACTGGGGAAAGGCCGTGATGCTGTCCATGCTATTAACAAATCTGAAAACTAGACAGCACCCTAAAGCTGTGGGTCTAAATCTATTTTTTTCCTTCTTGGTTATATACCACTTTGAAAATTTGATGGAAAAAAAAAGCTAAATATAAAACCGAAACATAAAACTTCTCGGGGAAAAAAAGGACTAAAATTTCCTGTCCTTGGAGCATAAAAAATTTTCTTTTGTAAACAAAATGCAGCAACCACAGAAGAAGAAAACTGATGAACTGTACTTCCTCAAAGTTATCTTCAATAAAAACTATTAGGAAAATAAATAGGAAAGCCAAAAACTGGGAGAAAATATTGACAAAACATATATTAAAAGAGCAGACTTGTGTCTGGAATATATAAAGAATTTTAACAACCCCATTTTTTAAAAAAGGCAAACCACTTAAGCACTTCACCAAAGATATATGAATGCCTAGTAAGCACGTGAAGAGATGTTCAACATTATTAGTGACCAGAAACGCAAATTAAAACCACAGCAAATTATCACTGCATGTCCACTAAAATGGCTAAATTTTACAAAGATGAAGAAACAAGTTTTGATAAGGATTTGAACTAACTAGAACTTACACATTGTTGGTATGAAATGGTGAAGCACTTGATAAAATATAAATATCCTTGTACATATATCATTTGTGAATATCACTAGGATAAATTCCTTCAACTGGGGATGTTGGGTAAAAGGGTTTTAACTTTTATAGTGTCAAATGACTTTCCACAGAAGTTGTACCAGTCTACATTCTCATTAGCAACGTTACGTTCCCAAGTTGATTTTCCTCACGTCTGTACCTAGTGAGTATACTATCAAAACTTTCAATCTTGCTGTTCTAAAAAAAATCACATTTCATGTGGTTTTAATTTGCAATATATATCTTCCGTATATTTAGAGGAATTTGCATTTTACTTTTCATAAAGTTGGTCCATTTTATTGTTAGACTGCTGGCCTTGTCTTATTAAATGCTTCTTTATATATTAAGAACTCTTTATATATTGCGCTCTTGGTTTATATGCCACAAACATTTTCCAAGTTTATATGTCTTCTGACTTTGTATGCCACACTCTTATGCCATATGAAAATCTGATGTGTGGTCAAATCAATCTTTTTTTTAAGTGGCCTCTGGGTTTTACACAATAATTAAAAAGGTCACTCTCACTTGAAGATTATGAAAACATATTTTCATATTTTTTCTAGTACTTTCATGGTTTCATAATATTACATTTACATTTATGCTCCATCTGGAATTTATCATGGTGTAAGGTATACAAAAATAATCCAACTTAATTTTTTTCAAATGTTTACTCAATGGCCTCAGTATCATTGCTAAAACAATCTTCATTTCCTCTGCTAACATGGTAACTTACTAAATTCCCATATAGAGGGAAATCTCTTTCTGGATTTTCTACTTATTGTTATACTGACCTGTCTGCCTTATTGGGTAACAGTGCCACACAGTTTTAACTATTAAAGCTTTATATTATATTTTAATACATTGGAGATTTAATTCCCCCTCATCACTCTTCATTTGTAAAACTTTCTGGCTAATTTTACTTAATTGTTCTAGGATTCTGAATTTGGTACAGAAATATTACCAACATGAATAAGAAAACACTAATAAAAATGGAATGGCGTATCTTGACTACTGTGATGGCAAAACATAAAAGAAGAGAATACCCAGGCTGGACAACACGGTGAGATCCCATATCTCCATAAATTTTTTTTTAAATTAGCTGGGCATGGTGGCACACACCTATAGTCCCAGCTATTTGAGAGGCTGAGGTGTGACTATCACTTGAGCCCAGGAGGGTCAAGGCAACAGTCAGTAGTGACTGTGTCACTGCACTCCAGATCAGGTGACAAAGACCCTGTCTCCAAAAAAAAAAAAAAAGAGAATACCAAGAATGTCTGGGAAAAAAACAAAACAAAACATATGTATCATCTCAAAAAACAAGTAAGACCTAAAACATAGTAATGGCCCCATTTTCTAATATAAGGTGGAAATGAATGCTCACTGCTAAAATGCACAGGTCAAATACTGAGGGTGGAGATAGGGGTGACTGGACATCAACTTTTGAGTCCTTAACGTTAAAATAGAGCCTGTTTTACTTATTAACCTAAACCTTGCAGATGCGCATATTCATCAACAGCCACCTGAATCCACTGCCCAGATTTAACAATGATGCTGACCATCAAGAACATTTAACCCCATCTCTACCAAAAATACCAAAAATTAGCCAGGCATAGGGGTGGGTACCTGTAATCCCAGCTACTCATGAGGCTGAGACACTTGAACCCGGGAGGCAGAGGTTGCAGTAAGCCAAGATCATGCCATTGCACTCCAGCCTGCTTAACAACAGCGTAACTCCATTTTGGGAGGGGTGCAAACATTTAATCAGCTGGGCAAGGTAGCTCATGCCTGTAATCCCAGCACCGCGGGAGGCTGAGGCAGGCGGATCACTTGAGGCTAGGTGTTAGAGACCAGCCTGGCCAACACGGTGAAACTCCATCTCTACTAAAATATAAAAATTAACCGGGCTAATTTATTTAATGAACATTAAATAAATCCTCCCTATGTGACAGGAACTAAATGCTGGAACAGAAAGATGAACAAATCCATGCCTTCAGATAATTCACAACCTATTGGGAGGACAAAGCTGGATAAAGATGAAGTATGCATAAAATATATTAAATATGATTGTATACAACTGTCCCACATTTCTAAATTTTCACAGTGCTCTAAGAAGCTAATACTTGCTCATACAATGACATTTCATTTTTTAACTCTTTAAATACTCAGTTTA